TATGCCAAAGGATGCTCATTGTAGAAAGCTCAGTTACACTCAATGTGCACCACAGAGGTGTTGGGCTCTGCTTTTATAGAGAGATTCAAGGAACCCACACCCGGAAGATAATAGCAAAAGCTGCAGCATGCTCTGCATTCAGATCAGTTTCACTGATCTGACAGCATTATGTTAGAGACCGTTAAAGGAAGAGTTGATCATCATCAGCTTTAGTTGTTTCACAACTAACGCTTTGGTGATAATATCAGAACTTGATAGTTATGAGAATCTCATTATCTGTAATGTTTGCAGCTTCTGGTACCTTGACTACCATAATTCATGGCCATTTTTTATGCATAGTCGCTACTTGATCAGGTACAACTACAAACCCAAGAACAACCTGATTTCTTTGAGGCATGGATTTAGTAAGGGGTTGGAAATATTTTTTTATAAAGTCTGGTCTCTGTTGAGATGGTAGGATGATACAATTGCTGCAGATTTATCAGCTGCACATTCATAATGTCAATCTGCCCTTTCTCCACATCCCAAAGGTACTCTTTCGAGATCTGGAGACTGTGGAAGTCATCGGAGTACACTGAACCTCTCGAATGTGCGTGCATGTTTTTATGCACTGAATGTTCTCTGTGTTTCCTTGTTTCTTAAGACGTTTCACGACTTGTTTTAAGTGTCTTCATCTCTTGTGGTGGTAGAGACACTCTGACATTTAACTTCTTTGTGTTACTTTTCAAAATTGTTGGATTCCTTGCAGAGGTGGAGATTACAGGTGTCAGTTGGAGTGAAATTGAAGTTGTAATGGCCCCTCTTTCAAAGATGATTGATTTATCACTTGCTTAGTCAAGAAGTGTTTATGTAGCATCTTATTTTGGAAAAAGAAAAAAGATGTTTGCTTGATTTTTTTTCCTCCATCTTTTGTAAAGTATAAAATACGATTTTATTTTTCAGATTGATGGGATGTGTTGCATTTAAAATGTAGAGGAGCGAGCTAACCTTTGATGAAATTACTTTATTTTCATTGCAAAGATGAGAGGCATGCATTTACTTTTAGAATCAAATCACTATTAGTTTGATGTGGGTAATGGCCAGATGTTCTGTTATGCATGATGGAATATTTGGCAAATTGAGGCCTTTTGTGTAGCTAGCTGCTTGAGTAGCATTAATTGACTATTTTGTTTCAGATGCATGGTTTTTATTCTCAGTGTCTTCATTTAGCATTCACATCTTTCTAAGACCTTTTTTTTTTTTTTAGAGCAATCAATCTGATGTCTAGATTCAAGTTTGATTGTGCATTTAGCTGAAAGTGGTGATTTTGTAGAAAGGTATTCATTATAAAATCTTGTGAATTCTATACATTTTCTTTACGGTATTTTGTCCAGTACTTTGTATTGTGAGATTATTAGCATAGTTTTTTTCCAGGTTAGTTCTAGCAGTGATACAGTCCAGCTACTGCACAAAAACTCAAGTAGATTTTAGCCACAAAAAAATTTAATTCTTATTAGACTTGTGTGAAAGGGTTACACACGAGCCTTTATTTTAAACTCGCACATTTAATGTCATATTGGTATAAAACTAAACCCAAACATAAATGATAGAACTTGCATTGAACCAGACAACTAAATGAGTTTATCCAGCTTGCCCTTCCATGTTTCATATTGCTGCTGAGTGGGTGGTTTCATGTCGTCATGAATCCATAAAAAGTAGTGGGAAATATGGGAAATATTGATCCCTCAGTGCACAGAGTGTCAGCCGTGCCACGGTTTTCAGAGTCTATCAGAGTCACGTTTGCTTCTTTGAGCACATTTGAAGGAGACTCGTGATCGTATTTCTTCCAGCCCCAACCCATGGCCATGCAGTCCTTTGAGAGTTCTTCATTCTCAGGTTTTGGCAAAGTGATAGTATTCACAGTTCTGTTCAAAGTTGCAATGGTTTTGAGCTGAAAGAGAAGATCCAATGTTGAGTTAATAACCCCTATATTTCTTAGTTTTTTTAATTTAAAGATAATGCATTCATTACAAGTGAATAATTTATATAGCAAAATTATAGTCTGCAAATGTCAACCATTTCCTATCAAGAAAGGTCTTTTTTTTTCTAGATGTGATGGTAATGAAATATATCACCTCCTGA